GGGCCATACAGGGAAATGTAAAGTTGGTAAGTGAGAGAGAAGCCATATTGTTTGAAAAGCTTAGCTTTTTACTTCTTTGCAGATTTATGCCCTGTGGCTTCTATGCCCAGCATTTGTCTTGAGGTATCTTTACCACTTGGAGGAGTTATGATACTCGGTGAATTCGATATGAGGCACAAATTCTATTTAAGGGTTGTAATTAGGAAGGAAGGAATCATTTTTTTATATATCTGAAACTTACGATTCCATGAGTCATACAGTAAAATTAATTACATTTTGGTCCATGACTTCTGTAGTCATTCTTGCAGTGACATGCATAGCTGTATCAAGAGTGTTGAGAAACACCCAACAATAATGGATATCAGAATTTTTCAGAGGAGAAAGCTGTTTAGTTTTCTACTGAGGAGGGAAGTTTAATTTCACTCTGTAAGTTTATGTTAGTTATTCTTGGCTAATATAGTTTCTTTTTATAATTATGTGACCCCTTAGGGCACAGAGTGGAGAGAAAGATCATTATTCTCTTCATTTACCAGACATCAAGTTGTTTTCCCTATTTTAGTGGACACTAAGCTGTTAATATTAAACATCTGATTTTAGGTCTGTACATATTTCTGATACCATTTATTTTGTCATTCCACAGGCAGTAGGTTATAGTTGTATGCCCAATAACAAAGAAGAAGATGGGCTAGTGGTTTTAGTTTTCAACAAAAAAGAAACAGATATTCGAAGCCAGCAACAGCAGTTGGTAGAATCATTGCATAAGGTTTTGGGAGGAAACCAGACCCTTACTGTAAATGTAGAAGGTATTAAAACATTGCCAGATGACCAGTAAGTATACATTAAATAAACTATTTATTCCTGTGTACCTTGGTCCAAAAAAGTGATCAACAGTGTTTTATTGATAAAGCACAAATTAAATCTCCAGACAGAATGTTATTTCTCAGCTAGTAATTATTCAGTATTTATAAAAATATTTATTTAAAAGGTTTTTTCTTAATCTTCAGTTTCTTATTAGATGCTAATAATTTCTTAGATGTTTCAGTCAGAAACAGGAAGAAACATTAAACATTAATCATGACTGTGCAAATCAAAGGCCACAAAAAAATTATTAGAAAGTTTAAACTGATTACTATTTTTGTTCATTCATGGATAAATATGATTGATGTCCTATGTGTAATTTTCATACTTAGTGGCAAGTATGCAACAGTCCCATGACTCTTGTAGTCATTTTTATAGTGCCTTGCTAAGTTGTATCAACAGTGTTCAGAAACACCTAACAATAATGGTATCAAAATTTTTAAGAGGAGAAAGCTTTTTAGTTTTGTGTTGAAGAGGAAAGTTTAATTTCAGTCTAGAGGTTTGTTATTCTTGGATAAAATAGTTTCTCTTTATAATTGTGTTACATTTACGGATATTTGAGGGTAGAAAAATTATTAGTGAGATATAATAACTGAAACCCAATTTTACTTCTTGGTCTTAATTGCAATGAAACAACCCACAAGCTTCAACAGATTCTTCAAAGTACTACACTATTCCAGAAAAAAATCGTATTTGTTTACATAGGACTTTGCAGCTAAGCAAATCTTTTACAGGTATTACCTTATTTGCCTATCTCATTTTAACTTCTATCATTTAAGCTGATTTGCAAGTGAATGTAACATTAAAAAAACAATTCTTTATTTTCCAAGATTTAAGGGTAAAAATATTTTAATTCCCTTCTAAAACAACCATTTCTGGATTCAACTAGCACCCTTCTAAAATCACATGCTGCATTGATATTTGGGCTATGAGTTAATGTGATCTATATTTTATAACTTGGTTATTTCTCCCTCAGGACGGAAGTGGTCATTTATGTTGTTGAGCGTTCTCCAAATGGTACTTCAAGAAGAGTCCCAACTACAACATTATATGCCCATTTTGAACAAACCAATATAAAAACACAGTTGCAGCAACTTGGTGTAACCCTTTCTATGACTAGAACAGAACTTTCTCCTGCACAGATCAAACAGCTTTTACAGAATCCTCCTGCTGGTATGTTTATCAAGTCATAGAGTTGAGGAAATGAAAAATTTAGAAATGCATGCTTCCTCTTTTGTGGGAGGTGTTTATTGGTTATTAATGTTAATAAAACTAGTATCAGCTATAATATGCCTGCTTATTTGGGGCATAGTACTGCATCTTACTGTATTTTTACTCATTTCATGTTTTTATTATGTAGCTGTGTTTGTTAGAAATTTTGAGAAATGGTGAACTAAAGAAAATAGTCCATAATCCATTTGCCCAAAGGTAATTCACTCAATATTTTTTTTATCTCCCACCGAAGTAACTACTGTTAATTTATTGTACTCTATTAGTCCTTTATCTGTTGTTATATGTACATGGAAGTCCTTAAAAAAAGTATTCTGCATGATACATTTACTGCAACTTGCCTTTTTACTTACCGTATTTCTTAATACTATCCGTGTCTTAGTACATGAAGGTTAAGTCTTACTGTTTTTAAAAACTACATGAATACCATGGATGAATCTCTTTTTACTTAACTTCTAGGTCAGTTCCACCTTTTCGCTATTATAAACTATGCAACAATTAACATCCTTGTGTCTTAGAACACATGGGTGTGTATTTTTGTAGAAGTGATCTCTGGTAATGAAATTTTTGAGTCAAGATTATGTGTACTCTTTGTATTGTTAGATACTGCAGAAGAACTGCTCTCCAGTGCAAGTTCTGCCATTTACATTCATAACAGGAATGTGTTACTTTTATCTTTTTTTTTTTAATACTTTGTCATTGTACTCTGTTTCTGCCAACAATGGAGATTATCAGTCTTTTTAATTTTGCCACTCCAGCCACAAATTAATACTTACTTTCATTTGCATTTCCTTGATTACTGGTAAAGTTGGGAATGTTTTTCTATGTTTATTAGCCATGTGTTTATATTTTTTGTGAATTACCTATTCATGTGTTTGCCTGTTTTCTATTAGATTTTTGTCTTTCTGATCTATAGGAGCTCTTCCTATATTCTGGAGGTTAATCTATTATCTTCTATGTTATAGGTATTTCTTTTCAGTCTCCACTTCTTTTTTTAGCCTTATTCTATAAAAAATTTTTATTTTTGTAGTAGTCATACTTGACAGTCATTTTTCATTACAGTCTGGGTTTTGTGTCCTACTTTAGGAAGGCCTTTCCATACAATAGAAAAACGGAAAAAATTTCTTACAGAAAAAATATTTCTTCTTTGTGGTAGGTGTTGATCCTATTATCTGGGAACAAGCCAAGGTGGATAACCCTGATTCTGAAAAGTAAGTGTATCTTCATTTCATTTTCATATAAGAACTAATATTGGCTCCAGGGGAGGCAAACAGATATAAATTATAATTCTTAAATTTGAGGTGGGTTTACTTTCAGTTTCATTGGTTTCTAAAGAGTGCTGACTGTTGCAAGGTGGCATAGTGTGGAAACATTGAAATCTGAGTACCAGTCCCCTAATTTTACTTGTGTTTAGTAACACAGTTTTTGAATGAACTGTATTTCCTCCTTTGTAAACTAGGGAGGTTGGGTAAAATCTCTGTGGTGTAAACATTGCTGATTTCATAGTCTTAGATCTGCCTTCAAACCCTAGAAATTTAATTGAAGATATATGACTGTTACTATGAAAACCTTAACTTCTTGTATTTTGTAGTAATAGGCTTCAGGTCTGAAAATTGACCACTTGCATTTCTTCAGGTTAATTCCTGTACCAATGGTGGGTTTCAAAGAACTTCTTCGAAGACTGAAGGTTCAAGATCAGATGACTAAGCAGCATCAAACCAGATTAGAAGTAAGCATTTAGCTCCATTCTCTGTCCCTGGGAGTGGTAAAAGTGATTATTGACATTGTTTTTTTTTACCATATGTGTTACTATTTTGTTTTACAGGGAAACAATATAGTGTGCACTGCAAATTAGCAGTTATAGTTTTATACAACTACTTTATTATAGAGCCTCCAAAATCATGTACGGTTGATGTATTTTAACAATGGATTTAGAATTGTTGGCTTAGCATATTAATTAGACTACCATTTCCACTTCCAGCCAGAGAATGATTATTTTCTTTATTAAAGACTTTTACTTATGGAGCCTTATGAAAATGAACACTATAATTAGGATTCTTTATGTTGTCATACTATATTGTTATAAAAGTTAATAAAGCAAATTTTAATTATTTAGTGCTTAAGTCTACTTAATGTTTTATAAAGTAGACTTTTGTAATCAAATACCTAAAGGTTCTTAAAGGTCACCTCCAGATTCTCTTCTATGGAATTCCTGATGAGGTACTCATTCAGACTCTTGAGTAGTGAGAAGTTCACTGTTTTATGAAGCAGCCCATTTCATTGTCAGCTCTAATTGATAAAAATTCTCTTACATTTGATCCGGTATCTGCCTTACTATAATTTACTGTCATTCTCTTTAGTATTGCTTTGTAGGTAATCACTGCTTCTTATGACAGCCCTACAGATACATGAACATCATAATAATTCTTCCTTTTTAGTGTTCTCTAGCTAAAAATTCCAGCATGGTTTTGCATGTGACATGATCTCCAGACTCTTCATTATCTTAGGCTAGACACACTGCATTTATAAGTATCACTTTAAATGAGTTGGTATAAATGAGGCCTGGCCAAAACTTGTCAAAGGAAGGCCAAAGAGGTTACTACTTTTCTTTATTTTTGTCAGTCTTGATAGAGGTTTGTGGGTTTTACTGACCTTTTCAAACAAGCTTGTGATGTCGTTGATTTTTCTTCTAGTTTTTGGGTTATAATTTCATTAACTTCAGTTCCTAACCACTTACTTTATTCTACTTGCTTGCTTGGGTTTTTCCTTCTTTTTCTAGTTTCTTAATGCTGTTAATTTCCATCTAAGCACTGCTTTACTTGAATTCCACAAATTTTGATAATGTATTTTCATCTTTGATCCATTCAAAATATTTCCTAATTTCCCTTGAGAGTTATATTTGATTATTGGAAATACAACTTCTATATAATCCATTAGTCAAAGAATCAATTGTTGGGAGTTAATCCTGTTATGTTGTTGATTTCTAGTCCAATTCTATTATGGTCAGAGAACTTTGTATGATCTTTTAACTTTGTTAATATTTTTAGCCCACTTGCCTTTGAAAGTAATGTGTATTTTGCTGTTCTTTGGTGAAGTTTTCTATTAATGTCAGTGAGATCCAGTTGGTAGACTGTTCAGTTTTTCTATATTTTTTATTTTTCTGTCTACTAGTTCTTTTTTCTTTTTTATTGTATGATTAATATACAATCACATCAGCATGAACAACATTGTCGTTACTAGATTCCCCCCAATATCAAGTCCTCACCACATAATCTATTGCAGTCACTGTCCATCAGCATAGTTAAGATGCTGTAGAATCACTACCTGTCCTCTCTGTGCTGTACAGCCTTCCCCGTGCCCCCCACACACACATTATGCATGCTGATCGTAAGGCCCCCTTTCTTTCCCCCCCATCACCCTTAATCTCTCCCTTCCCACCCATCCTCCCTGGTCCCTTTCCCTTTGGTAACTGTTAGTCCCTTCTTGGGTTCTGTTAGAAGCTTTTCAGTTTGATGTAGTACCACTTGTTCATTTTTGCTTTTGTTTCCCTTGCCCCGGGGAGATATGCTCATGAAGAAGTTACTCATATTTATATTCAAGAGAGTTTTGCCTATGTTTTCTTCTTAGAGTTTAATGGTTTCATGACTTACATTCAGGTTTTTGATCCATTTTGGGTTTACTTTTATGTATGGAGTTAGTAATCCAGTTTCATTCACTTACATATGGCTGTCCAGTTTTGCCTACACCAGCTGTTGAAGAGGCTGTCATTTTCCCACTGTTTATCCATGGCTCATTTATCATATATTAATTGACTATATGCTTGGGTTAATATCTGGACTCTCTATTCTGTTCCACTGGTCTGTCGGTCTGTTCTTGTGCCAGTATCAACTTGTCTTGATTACTGTGGCTTTGTAGTAGAGCTTGAAGTTGGTGTCTACTAGTTCTTTTGCAAAAAGAGAACTGAATGGAACAAATAGTTCAAAAATTCATATGGAAACACCAAAGACCCCGAATAGCCAAAGCAACCTGAGAAAGAAGAATAAAGTGGCGGGGATCTCACTCCCCAACTTCAAGCTCTACTACAAAGCCACAGTAATCAAGACAATTTGGTACTGGCACAAGAACAGACCCACAGACCAGTGGAACAGAATAGAGACTCTAGACATTAATCCAAACATATATGGTCAGTTAATATTCGATAAAGGAGCCATGGACATACAATGGGGTAAATGACAGTCTCTTCAACAGATGGTGCTGGCAGACTGGACAGCTACATGTAAGGGAATGAAACTGGATCACTGTCTAACCCCATACACAAAAGTAAATTCAAAATGGATCAAAGACCTGAATGTAAGTCATGAAACCATAAAACTCTTAGAAAAAAACATAGGCAAAAATCTCTTGGATGTGAACATTAGCAACTTCTTCATGAATATATCTCCCCAGGCAAGGAAAACAAAAGCAAAAATGAACAAGTGGGACTATATCAAGCTGAAAAGCTTCTGTACAGCAAAGGACACCATCAATAGAACAAAAAGCTACCCTACAGTATGGGAGAATATTTTCGTAAATGACAGATCTGATAAAGGATTGACATCCAAAATATATAAAGAGCTCACGTTCCTCAACAAACAAAAAGCAAATAATCCAATTAAAAAATGGGCAGAGGAGCTGAACAGACAGTTCTCCAAAGAAGAAATTCAGATGGCCAACATACACATGAAAAGATGCGCCACATCGCTAGTTATCAGAGAAATGCAAATTAAAACCACAATGAGATATCACCTCACACCAGTAAGGATGGCCACCATCCAAAAGACAAACAACAACAAATGTTGGCAAGGTTGCGGAGAAATGGGAACCCTCCTACACTGCTGGTGGAAATGTAAATTAGTTCAAGCATTGTGGAAAGCAATGTGGAGGTTCCTCAAAATGCTCAAAATAGACTTACCATTTGACCCAGGAATTCCACTTCTAGGAATTTACCCTAAGGATGCAGCACTCCAGTTTGAAAAAGACAGATGCACCCCTATTTTTATCACTGCACTATTTACAATAGCCAAGAAATGGAAGCAACCTAAGTGTCCATCAGTAGATGAATGGATAAAGAAGATGTAGTACGTATACACAATGGAATATTATTCAACCATAAGAAGAAAACAAATCCTACCATTTGCAACAACATGGATGGACCTAGAGGGTATTATGCTCAGTGAAATAAGCCAAGCGGAGAAAGACAAATACCAAATGATTTCACTCATATGTGGAGTATAAGAACAAAGAAAAACTGCAGGAACAAAACAGCAGCAGAATCACAGAACCCAACAATGGACTAACAGTTACCAAAGGGAAAGAGACTGGGAAGAATGGGAGGGTAGGGAGAGATAAGAGCGGGGAAGAAGAAAGGGGTATTATGATTAGCATGTATAATGTGGGGGGTGGGGAAAAGGGGAGGGCTTTGCAACACAGAGAAGACAAGTAGTGATTCTACAACATCTTACTATGCTGATAGACAGTGACTGGGTTTGTAGGGGAAACTTGGGGTAGGGGAGAGCCTAGTAAACATAATGTTCAAAAAAATAATAAATTGGAAAAAAAAGAGAACTGAAGTTTGCAGCTATAATTGTGAATTTGTCTTTTTCTCCTTTCAGTTCTGTCAGTTTTTGTCTCATGTATTTTGAAGGTCTGTTGTTAGTTCCATATGTATCTAGGATAACTACATTTTCTTAGAAAATTTAATTTTTATTATTATATACTGTCCTTCTTTATCCCTGATAGTTTTCTTTCTGAAGTCCACTTTCTGTGATATTAACATAAAGCCACTTTAGCTTTCATATGACTAGTGTTTGTATATATTTTTCTATCCTTTTTACTTCTGAACTACCTGTATCATGTATATATATATATACTTTTTTTTGAGCAACATTGTGGTTACTAGACTTCCCCCATTATCAAGTCCTCACCACATACTCCATTACAGTCACTGTCTATTAGCTTAGTAAAATGCTATAGCGTCACTACTTGTCTTCTCCTTGCTATACCTTCCCCATGACCCCTCCCTTCCTACCTACTCTCCACAGTCCCTTTCCCTTTGGTAACTGTTAGTCCATTCTTGGGTTCTGTGACTCTGCTGCTGTTTTGTTCCTTCAGTTTTTCTTTTTTCTTATATTCCACAGATGAGTGAAATCATTTGGTACTTGTCTTTCTTGGTCTGGCTTATTTCACTGGGCATAATACCCTCTAGCTCCATCCATGTTGCAAATGGTAGGATTTGTTTTCTTTTTATGACTGAATAATCCATTGTGTATATGTATATATGTACCACATCTTCTTTATCCATTCATCTACTGATGGACACTTAGGTTGCTTCCATTTCTTGGCTATTGTAAATAGTGCAGCGATAAACATAGGGGTGCATCTGTCTTTTTCAAACTGGAGTGCTGCATCCTTAGGGTAAATTCCTAGAAGTGGAATTCCTGGGTCAAATGATATTTCTAGTTTTAGTTTTTTGAGTAACCTCCATACTGCTTTCCACAATGGTTGAACTAATTTACACTCCCACCAGCAGTATAGGAGGGTTCCCATTTCTCCACATCCTTGCCAGCATTTGTTGTTCTTGTATCATATTTTTAGTGGGTTTCTGGAGTGAGTGAGTTTGGATTTAGGTCTACCATTTTAATGGTGGTATGTTTCCTGTGTTTTTTTTTTTTTTCTGCTTTTGGGTTATTTGGACATTTTTTAGCATTTAAGTTATTGTCAATCCAACTATCCATTTTTTTAGTGTTTGCTCTAGGGCAGTACTTCTCAGTGCTGGGTTGTGGTAGTGGTGGTGATTTTACCCCTTGGGGCACATTTGTCAATGTCTGGAGACTTATTGCCAGGGAGTGCTACAGGCATTGTGCAGGTAGAGGCCAGGATGCTGATAATAATACAATGTACAGGACAGTGTCCCTGCAACAAAAAATTATCTGGCCCAAATTAATGTAGTAGTCTGCCCTTAGCCATGATTTTGTATTCTGCAGTTTCAGTTACCTGCAGTCAGCAGTGGTCTAGAACAGCTGATCTTCCTTCTGACATCCTCAGGTCAGCAATAGCCTACTATGTCACAGTGCCTGTGTCAGCCATCTCACTTCATCTCATCAACCAGGCATCTTATCATCTCACATTATTACAAGAAGTGTGGGTATAATAAGATATTTTGTAAATACCACATTCACTTTTGTTACATTATGTTGTTATAATATTCTATTTTAGAATTTTGTAAATACCACATTCACTTTTGTTACATTATGTTGTTATAATATTCTATTTTAGAATTATTGTTAATCTCTTACTGTGCCTAATTTTTTATAAATTTTATCATAGGTATGTATATAGGAGAAAACAATGTGTGTACATGTATAGGGTTTGGTACTATCTGCAGTTTCAGTGTCCCCTAAAGGTATTGGGTCATACCTGCTGTGGATAAGGGGAGACTACAGTAGTGCTAAAGTTGAGAAATGCTTCTCTAGATATTATAATGTATTTCCTTACACCAGAGCTAATAGGCTCTTCTTGGAGCTGTCAGCATTATACTCACTTCCAGGTTTGGGGCTCTGCTGAAAGCAGACAGGGAGATAGGTGCCTGAGGGGAAAAAATGGGTAAACTCACCAATTCAGTGGTACTTCAAATTCACGTCTTCTTCCCTGATCCTCTTGCCACTGTTTTTCAGATGGCTGCCCATGCAGTCTGTTCAATTTCCATAGCTATATTCACTGGGAGAGAAAGAGTGGCATGTACAATTGACCCTTGAGCATGGGTCTAAACTGTGTGGGTACACTTAGTCAGAGAGTCTTTTCAGTAAATATATTGGAAAAATTTTTAGAGGTTTATGACAATTTGAAAAAACATTCTCTATTTTCTAGGTTATTTGACTGTAAAAATACAGTATATAATATAATATACAAAATATGTGTTAATCAACTGTTAACAGTTAAGGCTTCAGTCAACGGTAGGCTATTAGTCTAGTTTTTGAGGAGTCAAAGCTAATAGGTGGGTTTTTTAGCATGTTGGGGTTTGCTGTCCCTTCATCCCCACTTTGTTCCAGGGTCAGCTGTACTTTTGACCCTTTACAAAATTGTTTATATCTTTTGCCAGTTTTCCTATTGGGTTCCATATCTTTTCTTCATTGAATTTCAAGAGTTCATCATTTACTCTAGATTTTAATCCCTACTTTTTATTACAAATATTTACCTCCTCATCTCTCTGCTAACTCTGTCTTTGGTGTCCTTAGTTGAACAGAAACCATATATTAAGGTATGTTTTCATAAAAACAGTAGAAAAATACATTTTAATTTTAATGTAATGATATTCCATCAGTTTTTTTGCCTTGTGTTTTCTTTTTGGGAATTTACTCAAGAAGCCATTTTTCAGCCTGAGGTCTAAGAGTCTCATGCATTATTTTTCTAATATTTTAGAGTATAACCTTTCACATTTGGATCTTCTGTCCTCATGGAATTCAACTTTGTATATAGTAAGTGGTATGAACCCAACTTTATTCTTCTCTAAATAGTGGGTCAATTTTTCTAAAGTCATCCACAAAAATACTGGTATTTTCCTTAATGATTTATCAAAACATTTATTAATCCAAGTTCCCATATATATATATGATGGTATAGTCTATTCTTTAAATCAGTTTTTTTACTTTCATGACTTTATATCTTAATACATGGTGGAGAGAAAGAATTGCCAGTCTTTGTTGTTCTTTTCAGAGTTTTTAAGCTCTTTATGGATCTTTACTCTTCTGTAATGTAGTTTTAGAGTCAGGTTGCCCAAATGCTAGAATTTTAGTTGCAAGTCCATTAAATGTGTAACTTGTAGAGAATTACATCTTAATATTGAAGTCTTCACAATGTGTTGTTTCTTAACTCATTTAGATCTTTTATATCCTCTGAAAGTTTTAAAATATTGTTTTAAAATCTTGTTTTCTTGGATTTTAATTCCTATGTTGTTTTAGTGTACGTAAGTAGTACTGTGAATAGTAATGTTTCTTTTTTTCTTAGCTATTGCTGGTATAGAAGAACACTATATAATTACTGTACCTGGAAGCCCTCTGACTCTTCACAGACTGGGATGGGGTAGTGCCTAGGTTACATAATATAAAAAACGTGGCCACATAATTTTGTCCCATCAGCATGGCCTGCCACTGGAAACTTCCCTTTAAAAGATGGCATGTGCAAATGGCCATGTTGAAATGTCTTGTACCATCTTCTTTATACTCTTTCTTATAACATCTCAACAGAAGCCAATGCCATAGAATTAGGAAAGGAACAATGATAGAATTCTGATTGGGAAGCTTTAATAAAATGGGATATTATCTCACAGTCTATAAGGTTAACTTCATAAGGCAGAACAGTGGAACTTCAGGTCAGGCAAAAAGCAAGTCAAAGATCCAGAAGCTTAAAAATGTATTCGGTTGTATAATTAATGTCCTTCATTTTTCCCTCCACTCTGGTCACTCCAAAATATTCTATAATAATTAATACTGAATCATACTGTACTTCCCAGATGTAGTTACATTTAATTGTCTACAGAAGCCCCTCCTGGAGTCACTTTATAGATCTTAACTTTTTCCATTCATGGCCTGGTTGTGGGTTTTAGAGCTCTAAAGAAATCTTTAAATGGTCTTCTTAATTTTTAGGTGTTTCCAAGGGAAGAAATACAAAGCCAGATTTAAAGGGGAAGTTTCTATTTTGAGAGATGACTGTAGAGGCCATCTTACAATTAGACTTGGTATGTAGGCAAAACTGATAAATAGTTGTGATAGCTATTCTTGATTTACCTTAAGATTTTTTTTAAACAGATCATATCTGAAGATATTAGCGAATTGCAGAAGAATCAAACTACAACTATGGCCAAAATTGCACAATACAAGAGGAAACTCATGGACCTTTCCCACAGAACCTTACAGGTAGTAGTTTGGAATTTTTTTTCAATATTTGTAAGATTATATATGTCATAGTAACTCTAAATAGGGATTTTTGCAATACAACAAACAGACTAAAAGGAAATAAAAGCCTGAAACTGAAAGTACCAAACTTTCTCAGTAAAATCTAGAAGTTGGAAGAGAGGTCTTACAGGATTGGGTGGAAAACATTAAAATATTCTAAAATTCACATCTTAATGAGAGCGTGGTGGGGGAAGCAGTGAGGAAATAAGTCATCCTGGTGCACGAAAAGCATGTGTCAGATAATTAATACCTGGTTTTCATAAAAACAGTAGAAAAATACATTTTCTATTTTGAATACTAGTAAAGGAGTGGGTAATCTTTAAGGGCTGAAGAGCAATAGAACTTCAAAATTAACAAGAAGAAATAAAAGAATAGCAACAAAAACTGAAGTGATAGACTATCATGAAAAATAGAAATACTATATATCAGAGTCAGTGGGAAATAGCAAAAGCTGTACTTAGGAAAAATTTATATCCTTAAAAAAAACCTTCACTTCTAAAATACAAATGCAAAAGTAAGTAACTAATACTCATCTTAAAAGATTAGATTTGCCAAAAGAAACCAATGAGAGAAATAGAGATGATGTGAAATGAGTGAAACAAAAAAAATCATAAATAAATTGAAAAGCTGTTTCTTTGAAAAGACCATATAAATGCCTGAACATCTGTTGAGAAAGAAAAAAGAGACTTACATCATGAGTCTGAAGAATGGAAAGAAAACTGGCAATGAAAAGAGAGATTACCACTGATACACAAAATGGACTAAGAAAATACTGCATGCAACGGAGGACAACAAATTTGGAAGCTAGCAGAACAGATGGTTTTCCAGTCAAACTGAAATTATCAAAATTAATCTGCAGAGAAGTAAAAATCTTAAATAGACAAATAACCATAGGAACACTTTAGAAAGTTATTAAAGATCAACCACGGAAAAAGCATGAAGCCCAGATAGTTTCATTGCTGAATTCTGACTACTGAAGAGCTAATTCCAAAGTTAAATCATTCCAGACAAAGGGAAAAATATAGATAGCCTCCCCATTTTTTCAAAAACAGATTGAGATATAATTCATATCCTATACAATTCACCCATTTAAAGTGTACAATTCAGTCTTATGCAACCATTACCACACTCAATTTCAGAACATTTTCATAAAAAGAAACTCCATGCCCATTAGCTATCATTTTCTATTTCATCCCAAATCCTCCCCAGCCATAATACAACCACTTTCTGTCTCTCAGTTTTCCTATTTTGGGTACTTCATTTAATATGTGGTCTTACGTGACAGGCTTCCTTCATGAACCTTAATATTTTCAAAGTTCATGCATGTTGTAGCATGGACAGTATTTCATTCCTTTTTATTGCTGAGTAATATTCCATTGTATGAGAAAAGCAGAGTTTTATTTATTGGTGAATAATTTGGTTTTTCCACTTTCCAGTTATTATGAATGTTGCTGTTAATACTTGTATACAAGTGTGTGTTTGGATGAACACCTTCATTTCTCTTGAGTATGTAAGCCTAGAATTGGAATTTCTTGGTCATATGATAACTCTGTTTAGTGTTTTGAGAAACTGCCTGTTTTCCAAAGCAGCTGTACCATTTTACATTTGCTTTTTAGCACCCCAAAACAGTATCTGCAGACAAATAATATAAATAGAGACGCAAATTGTGATGTGAAAAAAAGCCAGACTTGAATGCTACATATGGCATGATTCCATTTATATGACATTATGCAAAAGCCAAAACTAGGAACAGGTAACAGGTCACTTGCTAGGGAGAAGAGAGGAATGACTGCAGGGGGCAGGAAAGAACTTTTTGGGCTGATAGAAATGTTCTATATCTTGATTGTGTAATGGTAACATTACTGTGTTTGTCAAAATTCACAGAACTGTACAGCTAAACAGTGCATTTTGTTATGTGGATTATACCTCAATAAATCTGACCAAAAAAAAAAAAAAAACCACACAAATTCTACAGGATATCTATCAACATAATTTATGTCAGCACATTCAAGGAAAAATGTATAATAAAAGCTGTTACCAAAAACAAACAGCAGGTACACAAAGGAGTAAAGCACTGAAATCAAATTCAGAAACTAGCCCCTGATCCACTATAGTATTACTACAATGCTGTCTTGGAGGTTACCTCATATATATAATGTGCAAGGTCATTAAGTAACTAATACTAATAGAAACATTGAAAAAGAGATTAAATTCTCTCTCTTTACTGACATGACTGTATATCTAGAAAACACAAGGGAATAAGCTCTATAATTAATGTGGTAAGATGGTTAGATAGAAGATAAAAGTACAAAAATAAACATTTCTTTATACTGTATTAATGGAAATAGGGCAATATTCCATTTACTATAATGAAAAAACTGTAAGTAGTTCAGAATAAGTTTTTGAAGAAAGTATAACATCTGAATCAAGGTCTTAAATAAGTCATAGTCTTACATGAGAAGACAGTATCCATTTTATGAAATTTAAAAATTAGAAGTTTAAAAAAATTAGTATCTTTCAGTTCATAAAGGATAAACATTTTGAGAATAGCTTCTGAGAGAACAAAGAGTGATGGAGACTTGCCTCGCCAAATTTTAGAACCTTTTTTAAAGCTCCTATAATCAAATCAATGTGGAATGGGCATAGGATTGGACATAAAAATCCACTGAATAGAACAGAGAATCCAGAAATATATGCAAGTGTATCTCAAATTTTAATATGACAGAGGTGGTATTTCAATTCAGTGGGTTTATTTAGTGAGGCTGGATTAACTGGCTATGTGGAAAAAAACAAAATTGGACCACTGTATCACACCACATACAAAAAAGGTGAATTAAAGGCTTTAAGAAACTTAAAAAGGCTTCATGTACAACCAAAGGACTGAAGAGACTTTCGGCAGGAAAACTGGTATAAAATTGGCTACATAAAAATTAGAAAATTTTGTATAGCAAAAGATACCAGAAGCCATTTGTCAATAGTCAAGTGATAGATTAAAAAAAAATTTTTTTGAGTTTTCAAACAGCAGTGTTTTTAGCTGTAGCATTAATGTTCATAATATACAGAGATCTATAATTTGACAAACCCCAACTAAAATATGGGCAAAGAATGTGTTGGAGGCACAGCAAATGCAAAGTAGTTCTTAACCATTAAAAGGTGCTCCTTTAACTGTAAGAGAAATGCAGACTAAAGTAAAAATGTGAGCTCCCTTTATACTCATCAGATTGGGAAAAATTTCACCAGCACCACCTACTGCCGATAGGAATGTGGGGAAATGGGTACTATCATATGTGGCTTATGAATTTAAATTGTTAAAGTCTTTTAGGAAAACAGTCTAGCAGCTTCTGTTAACAATGTAAACACTTAAACCCAGTCATTCTTAGGGGCCTGTACCAGTAAAGATATGTACACAAAAATGTTTATTAAAGCATTGTTCATAATATCAAAACTAAAAATATATGACTCTCAGTAGTGAACTAATTGTATAAATTATTGGTTAACTGTATGAAAAATATGTGGCCATTAAAAAAAAATAGAGGAGTCTTCTCAGAATGGACAATCAAATCTTGAACTGTTAAGATTCCTACAATATTATTTTTCAGCTGATTTCTTTCAACAATCAATTGTAATAAAATTACTTGTATAACTAAAAAGAGATGATTCTGTTGGTATTAGTGGGTTTTCTTTGTTTAGGTCCTAATCAAACAGGAAATTCAGAGGAAGAGTGGGTATGCCATCCAAGCTGATGAAGAGCAGTTGCGAGTTCAACTAGATACAATTCAGTGTGAACTAAATGCACCTACTCAGTTTAAGGTAAATGCTTTTAAGGCCATAAAGCTAGAATTTGTTTCTGGGCGGTCTGTAGAAAAATGTTACTTGGTCTTCAAAAAGAGGAATTTTGTATGCTTGTTTTTAAGCATTTTGTTCTCTTTAATCAAAACTTCCTTTCTAAGGTAGATTCTTCATCATGATGTTTTTGGCTTGTATTAATGTTTCAAATAATGTACAGAGGGAGAACTAGACATTTGAATAGAGTAGTATATACATCCTTTTAAAAGAAAACATTCTCTTTTAGAATGTTGGCAATTGTAATTTGACTCGTCTTATTTTTAGGGCCGACTAAATGAACTGATGTCTCAAATCAGAATGCAGAATCATTTTGGAGCAGTCAAATCGGAAGAAAGATACTACATAGATGCAGATCTGTTACAAGAAATCAAGCAGGTAAGTATTGCACTGGAGTGCACTTCTAAAGAAGATGAATTCACCACTTCACATCAATCTATTATACAAACAAAAGCCAGATAACAACAAGTGTTGACTAGGATGTGAAGAAAATGGAACCCTTGTACATTGCTGGTGGTAATGTAAAGTGGTACAGCTGCTGTGGAAAACAGTTCCAAGAAAAATTAAATAGAATTACTGTATAATCCAGCAATTATTTTACCAGAAAAAAAATCATTCTCTCTTCTCACCCCCAAAAAAGATGAATTCAGAGGTAGTAGAGGCACCAAAGTTCCCTGGACCCTGCCTTCAGCATGGAGGCTGCAGCAGCACCTGGGAGGTCACTAGGATGTAGGACCTCAGTCCCACTCTGTCCAGACTACCTAACTACATTTTGCCAGGGTCACACAGTAATTTGTTTGCACAGCAAAGCTTGAGAAGTAACTGCTCTGTATCCTATCTTCCCAACCTGCATGTCACATACAAATTTTAACTGGGACCTGGATGGAGTTTGTGGTGGCCAGAACCTCCAACCACTTGTCTAAGGCTCACTGCTTTTGCTTACTGTCACTGGTGTAAATGCAGATTGATTTAATGAAAGCTGTCCAACTACGGACTGTGCCTAAAGTAAGTGATATGGTAAACTTTGTGGAACATACTAGAAAGGACTGCTGGGATGGCCCTGAGGATTTTAGATGGTTATAAATGTCATCCGCAAATCCGTTTTTATTAGAGTGGATATTGCCATTTCATGGAACTAAAAACTAGTTTGGCTCTCCTAGGTTCTTGGAGGGTATACATATACTTTATATTATTGTAAATATCTGCAACAAAATTAACTAAAGTTCTAACATAACTAGAAGATAAGGTTCTAACTTAATAAAGAACTATATTAAAAGAGTTTATGCAATGAAATTGGGAATAATATTAACACCAACCTAAAAAAATGAAAAGCAGTATATTGTTTTGGAAGGCAGCTATACTCACCATTATACCACCAATGCTTTTTTTTTTTTGAATTTTGATATCATTAATGTACAATTACATGAGCAACATTATGGTTACTACACTCCCCCCATTATCAAGTCCCTACCACATACTCCATTACAGTCACTATCCATCAGCATAGTAAGATGCTATAGAATCACTACTTGTCTTCTCTGTGTTAGCAATATATTGTTTTGGGATTTAATCTCAGCTCTTTTCACCTACCGTATGACCTTTTGTAGATCACTTGTGTAGCAGTTTCTTTATCTATAAAGAGATAATAGTGGTACCCCAAAACGTGCTCAAGAGGATTTTTAAATGCATTGTTAGTTTATATTCATGAGCTGTTAAAACTGCCTTAACACCTGGGAAGGACTCTTAAAAATGTTAGCAGTTGGAGTTATCACTGTCATCACTATATACATTAAACTTCAAAACATGAAAATTCTCTTTTCAGAATGATTCTGCTGATCCTCTATATTTTGAGTACTTTCTTACAGTGTTTTAATGTAATACCCTTTTTTATCAAAGATTTATAAAAGGCATCGATAAAGCATCTTCATCTTATGTAAAATTTCTTTTAAAGATGAAATATTTATTTCATTGTATTTATTTGATTGCTTTGTATATTTTACTATAGGTCATATAAAAGTGTTAGCAGAACATAGACCAACAGTGCTTAAATATGCATGTCTGCTGTGTATTTAGAGCAGCTACTAAATGCTCTATTGCTAGTAAAATAATGAAAAAGTAATTTTACCTATGATTTACTTGTGCTTCAGTAGAGTAACACATGAATTTTTTAATTCCTTCTAGCATTTGAAACAACAACAGGAAGGCCTTAGCCACTTGATTAGCATCATAAAAGATGATTTAGAAGATATAAAGTTGGTAGAACATGGATTGAATGAAACTATCCACATCAGAGGTGGTGTATTTAGTTGACATTTCACAAACTTCTGTCAAAGGTTTGAAAAATATGTCTTCTTGCTACATCAGGCCTTCCTTAAGAATGAAACTGACTACATGGAGGAAAAAGAAAAATGTTCTCCTGGCTTTTTTTTGAGGAGGTTACTGACCAATTATTGTTCATCATATCTGAAATAAGTCATTTCACAGCTCTTCAAAGGTAGCTTTTAAAAGACTTATATCTAAAAGCTGTTACTTCTTTAAAGGGAGTACATAATTACCAAAAATATGTACTATTGTATGACAGCATTGTTCTCAGAAATCAGTGTTTAATGATTATTCTCCATTGAGCCTGTGTTCTGCTTTCCATAGCAAACACGAATTATCTACTTTGCACCTAATGAATAAACTACTTGACTGTTCGAGGTTTGTACTTCAAAATGTAAATGTATGTCAGTTTTATATTTGTGAATTCATCTGTGGGAGGAGTAAAGATAATCCAAGAGTATTTAATGATTAATGTGATTTTGTTTCCATTCTAAAAGATTTGAGAATATATTTTTATATTATTTTACTTATTTGAACTTACAGAATACATCTAAGCAATTAGGGTATGACAAAATTACATTTTATCATTTTAGCAATTTTTTTGTTTAAACCTTTTCATTTCTTAAAGATGAAAACTCTAAATAAATTCTTGATTGTCATTACTTTGAGAGAATTTTGTCTGATCCTTTGTCTTGGGGAGAATGACCACTCATGCCCACACAAGTATTAAATCATAATTCAAGCATTTCAGTTTTCTCTAACGTCTGATTTTTCCCTCCTAAGAAAAATATATCAGTACTAATATATTTTGACTAGGGTATGGCAAATAAACTAATTTCAGATATCATCTAGAATAAAGAATTCCCCAATACAGCATCAGTATCTGAAAACACTAGAAAATCTGAATTGACAGCAGTATGGAACAGTGATTCTTTTAAGCAGGTAATTGTAAATTTTTCTGACTACAAATGCACACCCGGGCTGTGTCACGTTGGCCCCTCCCGGACCGCTTTGCCTCTGTTTCTGTGGGTGCTTTGGCCTATGGTGGGAAATGCCCGCCTCTGTGCATATTATGGGGCATGGTGAGGCGTGTGGTACGCTCTGTGTCCAGAGGCCATCCTCAGATCCCACTGAAGGACTTTCTCCCCAGTTGTTAATTGTATAGGAGACTTGGAACTTTGAAACTGTTTCTTTCCAAACTAGCACTAGAAGCTAGCTTGCAGTCACTTCTACCAAGGTGACGGCCCAGAAACTTGTTACTCTATTCCCTATCCCGCCACCCCGCTTCAGCACTTTCCTACTTGTCACACTTCCAGCAGCATCAGAAGAATTTCTCGTCTGTTTTCTCCTTGGGCTAGAAGATGGCACTTCCGTCCTCATCCACATTGTTGAGTGTGGAAGGAGTTTCTGTCCCTCTATATATTCTCTAACAGGCAGAGTTGTTGATCTGATGAGAATTGTTACTCATTGAGCCACATTATCTAGTAGACGGTTCTTTAATCATACATACTATGCTCATTTGCTTAGCCTTTCATTTTTTTGTGCTCTGATATTATCAGGTTCCTAAATTCACAAGATAAAATACCCCTAGGTAGGGCCTAGGTCTGCCTTTAAAAGCCAGGTCCAGTCAGCTTCCTAAGTTTGATCCTGCTGGTGACTGCAGCTGTGAGGGCCTGTGGTCCTTGTTCATGCAGCTGGATAGATAACTGGACTTGGTCCACACAAGCAATGACCAAGTTCTAGATCTGGGCGAGAAGGAGAAGGAAAGACCCACAGTGGCCTCAGAACTTGTTCTCCAGCATAATTTACATAAATTCTGTGTTTAATCTTTATCTGGCCACAGTTCCTATGGATAGTCTAAAATTCTGAACATGAAATGAGGTAAGCAGAATTAAAGCACACTGAACCCCTAATGCCTAATTTAGATTTACTTTTTTTGTATCTTTGTAAGTGGCCTTAAACCCTTTTCAAAACATGGCAAAAGTGTCAGTTACCAAAGACTAAATTAGTCATTAATCAACCGTCACAGTACTTCAGGAAAAGGGTACTGTAGAATCTTGTTTTTCCCTGCTTATTTAGATATGTATATTCAGTACTGTCTGCTGGGTAAAAATAAAGATTCAAGTTATGTGAAACTTGGTAAACTGTGTTTACAAAAAATATAAAATTCATCTATCAAGGGAAGATGAGATTGAAGAATGATCCTATTTGAAGCCAAAGATAAATCCTTAAGAGACAACCAGAACATCTTTAAAATTCTAATTCAGGAATTCATGTTACCCACTAACATTGTTTGGTAATGGGAAATTCAGATATTTTATCTAATCTTAAAATGTTTAATTGAATTCAGTCAGAAATATACAGTTTGGTTTTTTTTGCGGGGTTTTTTTTTGCAATCATAAGATGAATACAGAAATGAGTGCAAAATGAATGTATGACATTTCTGGACCAACTTTTCACCCATGTGTTTCCATTAAAAGATTAACTTTCTGGATTTGGAAAGTACATAACAAAAATGCAGTTTTCATTTTATCAAGTGACTTTTGGCTAACAAGTGGAAAAAAACATTCCTTTTGAGATCCATATAAGAATATTTCAGGTAATAAAGACTGTCAAGTTACAGAGCCACAAAGAGATTAATAGCAGAAGCACCAATTGAAATGATAAATGTCCCAAACAGTGGAAGGAGCATTGTGCCAGAGGATGCAGAGGGATGGGTTTTGGGACCTGGAACTGGCACAGGACCTGGACCTGTTAATGAGAACACACAGTTACTGACATACCATTTTTGATACCAAGTTTCATCCACCTATACCATACATTGTGAGTATGTGAACATTCAGGTTGAGTTAGAAACTTTCCTGAGATACTTCTATAACGGAGAACAATTTTCAAAGAGTTCATTACAGATACCAAACTATATTTTCATAAATGTCTCAGGGTGTACTGATCTAGGTTTTAGCTGGAATTCCACAGTTTTTAAAATATGTACAAAAACAATTTTTGTTCAAGTTCTCTAGAATTACTTTAGCATTTTTTTTTCATTTTCTGTATGTTCATGATAAGTTTTAATTCAGTATCTTCTATTTCAAGTTTTCATATACATACTTGAATAGCTACCAATATACAAACTGAATATAGCTTCACTTTTAAACACCAAGTCCTGTAAGCTGATGTAAAAAATGAATCTTCCTCCATATATACAAAAAAATGACTGTTTTCCTCCATCCAAAACACTGCTCTGGAACTGTTACCCTTTCATCTAAACTAGCGAAGAACAGTTGAATCCATCTCAGATGAACTGTCTCACTCTGCCCTTAACTGAGATAACTGACTGACAGCTGTGTTTCGGTTTGGGCTGCACAAAGGAGCCTTGACTAGAAGTGTCCAAATGGGATTACCATTCAGGTTTCATAAGTGAAACAGAAATAGTAAATTATCTAAAAGCCTTCAATGCATATCAATTTGTTTGCCATAACTGGGCATACAGTTACAGGTATACAGATGAGGAAATGGATAGGCAAATGAAGTGCACTGACACATTGTTTATTACTACAGAGCAGTGGTTCTCAAGGGGACAGTACCGCCCCATTAGAGGGGGTCTGGGAATTTGTCCAGCTACTTGTTGATGGTCACAACAGCAGAGTGGAAGTAGAGAGCTAGATATGCTGCAATGCTCTAGACAGTTTTTCACAATGAAAAGTTGACCCCACTTCTGCACAAATCTTAAATGTGCTGCTAGACATAAGTCAAAAATCTATTTCAGATGTTCAAACCCAGAACCTGAGTCAGTTTTACATATCAACAAAATATTTCTGGATAGTTTTAATAAACGTTAGTTTCTACCTAGTAACTGCTTTATTTCTTCACTTTGATTTTCTTATACTTGCATAGAGCGGCTTCCAGTCTTCTAAATCCAAATTTATTTGCATAAATAAATACAATCATCTGTTCACCTCATTATGTCTTTTCATATAATCTAGGCATTTATATATTGAAATATAATTTTGTTATAAATCATAGGACATACTGGTTTTTATGGGTGTGGGTGGGTTTTATCTATGAATCTTCAGGATAGTATAAGGGCTTTATAAAGTTAGGTTTAAAAGCAAAAACTGGGTTGATAGGGTTGAGAACCACTGTTGTAAACAGCACAGGGTCTGTACAGACAGTTGAAAATGATTGATTACCACAAATTATCCCCGCCACATATGCACATATAAGCATATGACATTCTATTGTGATATCTCAAACTCTGTAAATTGTTCCTTAATTATTGAGGAAAAAAATTTACTTTTCTACACTGCAGATCAGATATTTATCAATTAACAAAATGAGATATTTCTTACTAGGATTATCGATATCTTCTTGACTTTTGTATTCTAAAATATAAAGAGATTTTGAGTTAGTTGCATTGTACACTTATTTATCCCCAAGAGAAAAGTCTGACTAAATAATTAAGCAAACTTGGCTGTCTCTGGGAGTGGGTCTGAGGGGCAGGGTGTTAGATATAGAGGTATGTGTGGAGTTGGGAGAAAGGTGTATTTTTTACTAACTTTTGTGTTCTGAATTTTTCAACCATGTGTTTCCATTAAAAGATTAAATTTTATGTTTCCATTAAAAAAGATTAAAATTATGTTTACAAAAAAGTATTTATTCTACACACTTACCTAAGATTCCCAAGAACAACATTAATACCTACCATTCACTACCATTCATGTTTATTAGAGTCCAAGAAGGTAGGCATAGTTACTGGTATAATACAGATGTTCCTCAAGACTTGCACGAAGCCACAGAGGTCATTAGTGCAACAGTGCCTGATTGCAAAGCCTTTGCGCTTTATTACTATGCTGTGCTAACTCCAAATGTGTTGGAAGCATTGATATATTACAATGTTGCCGTATTTGGATGGCTTAAGGTACCAAATGCCAATTCTAGGAGTCTAGCACAGAGGTGTATTTTCTATAATTAAATCTGGCTGCAAGACGTGTCATTTTATAGAAAAAGAACAAAATTTGAAAAGTTTGAGTCCTGGTTTTCTCTTTATAGCCTTCTACAGGTTCCTTAACCTTCCTATGTTCCATGTGTTTTTATCTCTGAAATGGCAGTAACAGTATTTATTGTCCTGGATTTAAATGAAATCTGTGTAAATGTTTTCACACTGCCTTTAAAAATGCCTGCACTATACAAGCCTTCCAGGGGAGGGCACTATACAAACAGTCCCAGCAGGACCTAGCAGCCTGTTGGAGGACATGGTGAGGGTGGTGAGGAGCACAGAATGACTGGCCTCATGCTGTATGGCTCTCATACACACGTGGATGATGCTATTCCTGTGATTACAGATTCCATCACAGTAGCCAACCCACCATGGGAAGCCTCTGACCCCATTAGGGAACAGACAGGAGGAGCTGGAAGCCAACTGTTCTGGCATTAGGTCAAGCACCTTTCCCTCTGCTTGGCCCAGAAAGCCTTAACAGCAGCCTGCTGTTGACACTGAAAAGTGTTCTCAACATTTTCCCCGTCTTGCAGACTGAGATGTCAGAAGCTGGGGAGTCCAGGTGTCCTCCCCAAACCCCTTAAAATTGAACTGGATGATTATGGGAAAGGACTCAGAGCCCCATGAGGCCTCTACCCCCAGTCAAGAGTTTATTACCAGGTCTTCCTTCCGGTTGTAACATTTTTATTCCTAAATTAGAAAGAGATTTTCAGGTAACAGACAACAGCTACCATTTACTACTATTATAAAACTCTCATTCATTTTGCCTGTACTTTATCTTATTAGGGCTTTAATTAGTCCTGCTGATAGTTTTCTTCATTTTACAGATGTGAAAAGAGAGGTCCAGAAAAATGAAGTAACTTGCACAAAATTACCCAGAGAGAAATGGCAGAGACTCAATGACTCAATGAAGCTGGGTCTGTGTGTCTACACAGCCCATGTTCATCCCACATCCAGCACAGTGGCTGCCTTTCATGTAAGCAGTGTGCCTAGTAAGGCGCCAACAAGGGGACTGTGCAAACTCAGGTCCAGCAAGCTGAAGAGGTGAGGACACACAGGTGTGTCATAGTGTCATTAGAAGTTCATTTCAAAGTTGTGGCCAAATAAATCCAACACCGAAAATCTGGGTGAATATGAAAGTTGCTGGACCATCTCTCCAGGCCTATGTCTGTGCTTTCAGTGATTAACTGTGAGCATGCTGTTCCTGTACACAGCATGCAGTTTCCATAAACAGCAATGTTAGGCAAAAGCTCAGTACTGTGTGTATGGCTGTAAAGAGGCTAAAAATCTAATTTCTTTAACAAATGATCATTCCATAATAACAAAACTGACCAAAAATTGTTCCAAAACACTACATGAGCTCAGGAGAAAGGATTCAAGACATGCACGCTGAGGTTTTGTGTTTTATAGTCTTTACAGATATCTGCACAAGGTAAACATGACAAGCATTAGTCACATTTGAAAGATGGCAGTTCGGAGGTCTAGAGAAGTCTTACTGTCCATAGCTCTCTGGCAAAATATCATGTCCACTTTTTGTTTTTTAATTTATTTTTCCTCCTTGTCTCTGGAAAAAAGTATTTTAAAATTAAGTTTCTATTTTCTTCTTCCTCTGTAAGAATAGGTTCCGAAGCCTTTCTGAGGCACCTGACAGGAGCAGCACAGTGTGAAGTTTCTCTGGCCTCAGAAACCCATGGCCCCGCGATGGCCTTGGCCTCAGAGCAACAGCCTCACACTTTTTAAATGTCCATTTTCATGGTCATATCTTAGAGGTAGGTTACATCTGCCATAGTAAATATACTGGAAAAACACTTGAGGAACCCCAAGTCTTAAGGAACAGGTACTTGATCCTTAGTTAAAGACACCTGGTCCTTCACTAACTTATGAGATCTTGTGGTAAGTACATAGGCTCCCCTGCATGTCTAATGGTGCCAATTACATCGATACCCTCCAAAGTGGCAGCCTCCTCTCTGACATGCCTACCATTGCTTACCAGGTAGTGAAAAAGGTTCTGGAATTTTCATTCCTAAATGAGAAAGAAGTTTTCAGTGACTTGCAATTTGTTCCAGTGAGAAGAATTTCCAAATTCTTGTCATTAGCTCAAGTGACACATGCGCCAGAGGTTCCACTGCACTGTGGTTTCTGACTTTTTATGTGAAAATTCTGGCTACATGAACCCTCACTGTGTAAAACCCCACCAAGCTTAAGGGAGCCTAAGAGAGCCTTCTGTCATCGTTACCCTCCAAGCCTGTCTCCATGCCAGGAAAATACTATGCTTGGAGTCCCAGATGCTGAGATACTAGTGAAAGCTAACGGTCAGCTTTTGCATGAAGTTAAAGTTTCCCCTGAATAACTTCAACTGTAGAACTTGGAATGTGTTGGACTGCCTGCCTTCAGGGCCCAGCAGCCTTGCCTTCAGCTATACCCCAGTGAAGCTAACTTTTCTGCACCAGGAACGCATGGTACTAGGGAAAAAAGGCACTTTCTCGACTCTCTTCAGCTAACTCTTTGTAGAATGGCTGGCAGGCAGCTCTAAGGGAAATATTAATGAATAACAGTTTCATGACAGTATTCTCTTTAATGCCTGGGGGAATCCTCCTCACCTTACACTTGGGCATAGAAAGTAAACAGAAAGCTATCTTACCAGGTATTTGAGTGGGTTCATGGTTCTCTATACCTAAAGACAGAAATGAATATTGGTTAGTATTAACTCAATTATCATGCATTGTTAATGCTCCCTTTTGCTCATTCAATGGCACTTCATTCTCTAACTGGACAAAGCCCAAACTCTGTAGCCTAGACTTCAAGAATTTCCATGATCTGGCCCATATCTCTCCAACCTTATCTTAAGGTAGTCCTAGTATGTCGGTTTTTACATGAAACAGTAGTGGGTTAAGACTTTGCTTGGTTTAGTTCTACTTTTAGCTCTACAATTGGGCAGCCTTCTTAATCCCTCTGAGCTTCAATTCCTTATTTATGTAAAAAAAATACTTTGTAGATTTGTAGTAAGTGATGATTAAAGGAGGTACATATAAAAATGCTTAGTACATTATGTGGAAGGTAATAAGCACTCAATGGAAGGAGTCCCTCTGCTCCGATTTAACTCATTCTTCAACTGCTGCATGCCAGGTAATGTGCTTAGTCCTAGGAGTCCTCACGTCTCTTCGTAATCTTGTAGCTAGTTTCAAAGAGTAAGTAAAAAGATCACTCACTGGGTAAGACAGTGAACTCCTGGCTTTTCACTCCTAAAGGTGAGAATAGAAACTATGAAATTATGCAATAGGAATTATGAAAAATGCAACTGGCTTGAAAATTAATTTAACTTTATATTTACATGGCTATTTACAGTGGAAAACTCAAAAAGCTTTGGAAGATGGCAAGGAACAAGGTAAAAGGGGAGACAATCTGATCCACGGGAGCATGACTGACTTATGTAAAACAATGGCCTCTGATCCAGGATCCTCCTAAAAGCAAAACAGCTCTTGTTGATTTGGTTTTATTCAGTCCAAAGACAGACCAACATTTGTCATAACATATTTTCAAAAAACATTTCTTTGTAAAAATAAGATTATCTAAGTAATCCATTATAATTACAGATACTTTGGAAAAATACAGGAAATTATTAAAAATTGCTCATAATCCCAGATCTCAAAACTACTCATTCTTAACATTTTTGGCTTATTTCCTTTTAATCTCTTTGCTGTGTATGTGTGTCTGTGTGTGTGTATACATTTTTAAAATTTTTTTCCAGTTTTATTGAGATATAATTGACATACAGCACTGTATAAGTTTATAGTACGTAGCATACCGATTAGACTTACATATATTGTGAAAAGATGACCACAATTAGTTAACATCCTGGATCTCACATAGACACACACAAACAAGAAAAATGTTCTTTTCCTTGTTTTGAGAACTCTTAGGATCTACTCTATTAACAACTTTTAAATACAGTCTTAGGGCAGTGTAAGAATCATCACCAAGCTGCACATTACATCCAGTACCTACTTATCTTGTAACTAGAAGTTTGAACCTTTTGATATTTTATAATAAAGTTGGTATTTTACTCTACATGTTGTTTAGATCCTATTTGCCATTGTATTTTAAGTACTTTCTCATATCTTTAAATACAAAAACAGGACTTTTAAGTTGTTTAGTGTTTCATAATATGGATATAATTTAACTTCTTTAACAATACCCAACTATTGGACACTAAGGTTACTTACAAATTTTAGCTACCATAATACTGTATAAACATTTTTGTACACAAATCTTTATGTTTATGTCCTTAGGACAAATAACCAAGTGTTTTTACTGGGTTAAAAGGTATGGACACTTTTAAGGCTGGTAATA